GTTTATTGTGCTAGACCAATAAACTCGTTTCTAGAGGTGGACAAGTGTGGCGACAGACAGTGAACTTTATGTAGTCGGTCAGGGACAATAGGAACACGTTCAGAATTAAAGTTAATTTCTCTTGAATGACACGGTTTTCGTTCAGTGGAGAATGAAAAAAGTTGGTTTACGACGTGTTGGATGTTTGAGATCGAATACATTGGTTATTGTCTAACAAGAGCAACTAAGACCGAAATTGATTTCTCCTGGCATGAAACTGCATCAAAACAAGTCGAAAGAATGTTATGACTGATTACGTCATTTGAATATACCGGTCACCAATGAGGTGAAGATGCTTCGGAAGGAAAAAACAATCCTTGTGGAATTTCCTTCATATATCTGACGAAGACTCATGCATAAAAATTACAATTATTTCTCGTCGAATATCACCCCAAACAGGGAACAAAACTATATGTTGAAGTGCATTCCTACATTACCAAGATATAATCGTTGCGAGATTTCGTATTTCCGTTTCTCCTAGTTAGACTTTACCTTTATCTAGCGGAAACCGGTTTAGTGCCTTATTTACTANTCAACTAAAATAACAAGCTTAAACCAGCGCATTCCGAAACAGTCGGTCATAGAGAGAGTTTCAAACAATAAAATCTATTCATTCCCTCAGAGTTTTGTGGGCTTGATAACGACAAATGACGGTGGTGGTGGCCTTAATCTTACTTCAAACGTAATCCCGGTCATATCCGGTCGACAACGAACCAATAGCGATAGAAGTATATCCTGAATGAGAGGCGAACAACTTTAATGGACGTCAACCTGTTATCAACCTCTTAAATATTGCAATAAATTTAGCGTTCTCGAGAACAAAAGTGATTCACGACTGCTTCCTCAAAAAAAAAACGTGCCAGAGTTCCTCACTTTTTGAGTTCAGTAAGTATTTGAGAAGAGACACCAGTAAAGTAATGTGGATGTATGGATGTCCTAGGTGATTACGCTGCGTGTCGATTGGTGCCCAGTGCGAAAAACACATTTTCAGTGACCCAAACCAAAGGTAATACAATGCTTACCATCCCCTAAACGGTTTGAAAAACCTCTACGAAACCCAATTTTCGTCTAGCGAGTCTACCTTAAAGTTTTTTCCGTTCCGACCAGCTGGAGTTATGCCCTAAATGTCGAGAACTATTCGTTCTCAAAGCTCTATACCTTTGATCGGCAGTCGACCGAGAACAAAGCATTGCCAGGACTGTTCAGACAAACGTGGATGTGAAGAACTCATGAGCCCTTTGATACACGGATAGTTCAACTCACCAGATATACTGTAGGTCGGAGGAGGAGAGAATAGAGACGGTTTCGGTTGTTGTGTTATGCGGAATATCCGGACGGCACCTAGATCCCGTAACCACTGAAACATGGAATGGTGGAGAACAGAAAGGTAACTGGTGATCAAGTACGTTCATAATATCTCTCCAAGTTTACGAATGAATTTCGTTGAGAAAAATGAAAAAGCACGAGGAGTAGTAAACATCCGACAGAGAAATAGGAGAAGCAAAATGAAATCTCTGCGGAATTTATGTGATTGTGATCTTGATAATCAAATTTTATGTTCGGGTTTCACATTCCATCTCATGTGCGAGAGCACAAAACCGTTCGGCATAGATGTCTGAAACGGTTTGTGCGCAATTATCCGTTCCCGGAAAAATCTAAAGCTTATTCTAGAATAATGCTGTATTTAGTGCCTTGGGAGGTTTTCTATCTGACACGGAAACGTTTGGGATGGATTTCAGGGTATCGCCGAGCAAACCAGTGAACCCACAAGACACAAAAACACATACAATGAACATTTACGAATAATTCTCAGGATGAACGAGGATGGAAATCATGAAAATAGCTGACTACAAAGAAAATAATAAATGATGGCCCATATCGCATTGTTATAGCACACTGAGGGAAAACAATTCATATGAACAGAACCCCAGCACAAAAAGGAAACCGCTATGCTAACATAGAATGAAATGGAGATACACTGAAGACAAAAAATGGACAAATAGAACACTCTAAGCTAGTTTTAAGTAAAGGACAACAAAAAGTGATTTGAAATCAACCATAGATATTGTCAAAATGCTTCACATCTACCGGTTTGACAGTCAATAAGGAATGCTGCATTAGATAATAGGAAAACGAAAAAGACCAAAACTAACAAACTTGATATCAAACGATTTAGAAATTGTAAACGGGTTGCGTCCTGCAGGAAGTGTAAACATTCGAAGCATACTGTACACCTGTTTCAACTTTGTTTTGCGGTCAAACCATAACCCTGACGACTAATGATGTAGTGAGCGAGGTGTGAGGCCCGTGATAAATTTGTAAATATAGCTGGCGCCACATTGTTTATCGACAAAATGAAAAACGGCCTGATGTGCTTATCAGTGTTACATTGTGTAGTATGCTTGCGTTCGATACGTGCGGTCCTGGGTTTGATCTTCCATTGGGCCAATAAATTCACATTGCCGATAAGACCAAACTGGGTCGAAAAAACTGTACATTCCTTTCTAGTTCATATTGCTTTTGTTCTGTTTATGATCGAATTCCTCATGTACCCCAATTAAACCCTCCAAAAATCCCGTGAATAGAAGTCGATATTTGAAATGGTACGACAGAGGTTGATGAACCTAAGCAAGTAAAACAGATCCTTCCATGGGGAATGGTGTTTTTTATTACACACCCTAATGTGATGAACGTCGGACGGGGAAAACCCCATGGTCACGAGGAACAGCTGTTCAGTGGTGGAAACCGGTAACCTAAGCTCCAGGACTTGGAGAGGCGAACCACAGACCCCGTCAGATTAGGCGTGGTATGGAACCATACTACAGTAAAGCTGCCTACCACCAAAGTTGAGTAGCGGGGGCAAGGGGTCAAAAGCACGCCGGTGACAGCGACTAAACCAATGCACCACCACCACCACCATCCAGAAACCGATTCCTCTGAACCACTCTGAGCGTTTTCCACAATCGACAGGTCAGTATGGGACTCAAACGCATTACGAAATAAATACTTTCAAATGGGTTTGTTGAGATGTGACGAAATAGTTAATACGTGAACAATCGGACAAAAGTTTTCTGGGTGCAAAAGATTTACTTCATGAGGACTACTGCTTGTTAGGTATACATATCCGCTAAATTGTTCCTTAGTCACTCATATCTTTGACCTCTTACGTATATTTTCATCACTGATTTCTGACCTGCGAAACTCATCATATCATATTTCAGAAATGGTATTCAGAGAAACTTTTCGCGGTTAGTAGCATCATAAAACACAGCAGGGGCTTCCATATGGACCGCGTAGAAACAGTTTGTCCGCAAAAGATACACTCCATGTCACAGATTAGAAATTAGAAATAAACAATATATATACAACAAAGAGGAAATTCGTCATGTATAGAGGAAATGAAGCGTGAACTGAA